TCTATGTACATGTGTTATATGTGTAATAGCGTGTATATATACTGTGTATTATAATATAATACTTTTTATCTCAGTAACTGTATGTACACTCATAGATGTAGAAACACGTTGACAACTGTAACAATAATAAAATGGCGAGTTAGCCTATTAGTAGTTGTTTTAAGATTGTTTTTAAACTGAGTGTAGGAAGATTTTAATGAACGAATATCCATTTATGTGTCATTCGGTTTTCTCATTCGTCTAATGCCATGAACTCTCCTGATTCAGCAATTGAATCTGTTCAAAACACTTCAAAACCTCTCGATGAAGACACCAATTGTACTGCTATTGATGAGAATACCGGCCAATTTTGTGGTGAGAGTGAAACATTAAAAATTATCGATGAGTTTCAAAAATTGTATGAAACTCGTATTAAAAATGTTGATCGAGAGCTCGAGAGTGAATTTGATCAAGTTTGTGTAAGTTTGCTTGATTTCATTTAAACTTTTTTCTATTTACAATTTTTATTTTATGTAACAGTATTATATATTAATATAATCAAATAATTTAATATGTAAATTATCTATTAGTACTCATGGTTTAACATTTGTTATAATAACTTCAGATGAAACTAGAAATTTCAAAAGAATGGATAAAAAATTTAAAGGAGCAAAATGTTATGCTGGTCCAAGTAGTAGAAGATCTAGAGCATGCTGCATGTAATCGAGTTAAATTGTTGGAGCAAAAGTTGAAAAATTCATCAGCACTAGTTTCTGGAAATGTGACAAAGTCATTGAATACAGAAAAGGTATGACTTTTAATCAGTTCTTCAAATTATTCAAATAATATAAAGCTCAATAGTTTAGAAAATAATCGCCATTATTATAGACTATAAATACACTTTCAAGTCGTGTAAGTGATTTGGAAAAAGATGAAGAATGTATGAGACAAAGAATAGAGTATCTTCAAAGTGACATTAGAGGCTTATTAGAATTAATAAGACGTGCAGTACAAGAAAATCATTGGACGCTAGATGACATAAAATTCTTTGAAATTGAACATCGTGATATACCTGTTCCAAATAAGTAAGTTTCTTAAGCATAAAGCAGAGAATAGTTTTTGTAAATGAATTTTGTTGTTATACCATATACTTTTTCTGCGAAGATGTAATCGGTTTTATATTTTTTTCAGTTGCAACTGTGACCAGGTAAATATAAACGTAGATGCTGATAACAGATACAAACTTAGAATACAATTTAGTCATGATTTTGTGAATAGACCAAATTATCCATTAGATGGAAATATTTGTATGATACATCCTTCCCATTCCACAACCCTCTAATTAAGTTTTCACTCTTTCCAACTCATACATACATACATACATAC